GGGGGGGTGGGTGGGTGTGTGCATGAGTGTGTGTGCATGAGTGTGTGTGCTAACACGTGCACGCGCATGAGCGTGCTCGCGCCCGTTCACGTGCACGTGGATAAGGTGAGTCTGTGAGAGCGTTTGAACGAGCCATGGTCCCATGGTGCCAGCACCAGGCGCCACGCACCTTAGTACGCAGCATCCCCTGTGGCCTCACCATCGTCATCCCCACCTGCCCGCCCTCCCCCTGCATGCAGGCCCGCCTGCCGCAGCTGGTGGACTTATTGCGGTCCATCACCCCAGACCACTACGCACGCCTGCAGTCCGGCCTCGCCGCGTTCTGGCCGGCACTTGTGTGGAGCCCCGCGGTTGGGGGCCGCGCCTACAACCTGACAGTTCTGTCGCTGCAGCGGCGGGCGACGGCGGCCCTTGGGGGGCAGTATAGATGACACCTCGCGCCGGGAGGCCGTCCACGCTGTGAAGAGTTGACCTACCGTTGACCTTTCTTTGACTCATGGGTTTCGATCTTCTCTCTCCTAGAGAAGGGGGAGTTGGTGGCTTGTTGACGTGAGAGGCAGCAAGGCAAGTCAGATCGCTTGAAGATTTTTGGTGTCATTGACCCTCTCCATAACATCGTTGTTTTGGGTGGAAGATTTTGATTGCAAGCACAGCTGCATCCAGTAGCTTCTTGGTTGGACGTGTGACCTAGCAGCTGCCACGCACTGCTAAAATATACATCGCTCAAGAGATTTTGGTACCCACTTCTTCCTGGGTGCATCTGCCATCTTGCCCTGCAGGTTGACAGGGTGCCTTGAATGCATTCCTGCCTGCACATATATACTGATATCTGCTACACCACAATTCAGACACAGCGACACTCTGGCCTGCTAGGCCTGCTGCATTCTAGTTCAGTTCCATTCCATGTCGCATGCGTCAGGCATGCAGGCAGCCCTCTCCTCCAAAAATGCCTCACAAGACTGACAGGCCCTTGGCTGTGCATTTCACAGATATTGTCATATACGATCCTCTTGTGTAACATGCCTTTGACCGCGCCCCGTTCTGCATGCGGCGCCCGTCAAAGTCGACCGGCAGCGGGGAAGTGACCGGCAGCGGGGAGAATGATGGATACAAACACACGCACAACCTACCTGCGAAGATCGGCGGCCGCAGGCTTGCGTGCCAACCACAAGCGATTTTGGCCGGCGGTCTTGCAGGTCAAACCCCAAGTAATGCAGTACAATATGTCGTCTTCAGCATTCGCTTGGTTGCGACAAAAAGCAAGCTGTTTGAACACAAATGCATCTGGGACGAAGCGTGTACCCATATCGCTGGCGGCAGCGCCTGGCGCGAGGCCCGCCTGCAGCCCTGCCCGCCCGCTGCGAGCGTTCCGCGCCGTGTGTAACGGTAGCTGCGGCCAGGGGCTGACGGTGTGCGGAGTGCGTGGGCTGACCCGCACACCGCGCGCGGCCCGCAAGAGCAGCAGACAGACAAACATAGCAGCACCTCGCTACGTATGCGGTTTCAGACGCGCTGCACGGCGGCGCGGAGCGCGCAAGCTGGCTGCAAAACGCCGGGGCGGGCATGGGGCAAATACCGTTGGACAAACAAACGTACACAATGGCTGCGAAGACGCGCGTTATGATATTGTCAGACAGGGAGCCCGCACAAGTGTCTGCAGCGCTCGGGGCACGCGCAGCCAGCGAGTCCGGTAGGTGGAGTGGGATTCACTGCCGGCCGGCGCTCCTCTGTTGCAATCTGGCCGCGCCGGGGGCCGGGCATCCCCACGCAACCACCGCCTCTGAGAAGTGCCCGCGTGTGTGTTCCCGCCCCCAGTCAAGCGGACGGACGCCTGTGCCTGCATAGGGTATGCCGCCACGCCGCGTCTCGTGTGGCGAAATCACGCCCCCTTCTTGCCGCACCAGGCCGTCATCGGGTTGAGCGGCGGCAGCCCAAACACGGCCCGCACCGAGTTGATTGCCGAGATCCGGTCGGACTGCATCTTCCATGCCGGGGTCGTCCTGGCAGCCAGGGGGACGCACTCGTTGGGCACGATGCGGCGCGTGACCGCGGCGACGTTGCCGTTGCGGGCGGCGCGGGGGCAGGGGGGGCCCTTTATGAAGGCGCCAACACAGCTGAACTCGGGCGCCAGGGCCCTGCACGCGCGGGCGGAGACGAGTAGAGGTGTGTGAGTGTGTGTGAGTGTGTGTGTGTGTGTGTGTGTGTGTGTGTGTGTGTGTGTGTTTGTGTTTGTGTTTTGTGTTTATGTTTGTGGTTGTGTTCAAGAGGCGGGCGTGAAGGGCATGCCTTCATAAGGAGGAGTGGTGCAGTGGGGGTGGGTGCAGCGGCAGGGGGGGGATTGGCAGAGGTGGCGGCCTTGGGCGTACGAAGCGCGCGCCCAGTCAGCGGGCGGTGGCGTGTCCAGCGGGCGGCTCTGATCATGGAGACACGTGCACGCGCTGAAATGACATGCAGGCGTGGCGCTCTCACGACGGATGCGTCTTTGGGTGGAACATCAGAAAACAATAAACATCATATCTCATGATCCCTCTGAGGCTCACCAGAAAGCCAGCGCCGACTTCCAGCCTGCAGTGGAGTTGGTGTCGAGCAGCAAGTCGGGGTTCGAGGTCAAGTCCAGACCGAGAAACTTCCCCATGGCCGCGTAGTTGTCCGCGCCCGTGATGAGGACGGGGCCGCGGCCGTAGTACTTGGGACCCGCGCTGCACTTTTGGGGCGTGCCGGCGCGGGCGCAGGCCTCCAGGATTCGGTCGAGGCTGCCCCCATAGATCACCTGGCGCAGAGGCGGAGCATTTCAAGTTTGGAAGGAAATTCTGAGATTTGGGGGGTTGAACAAGCAAGGATGACTGGCGGCAGGGGCTTTGAGGGGGCCTGGGCTGCGAGTGAAGGCGTCAAGTCTAGCAGAATCCGCTCAAGGGCGGGGCGGGGGCGTCCCAGGGGCACAGCCGGGACTGCGTTGGAAGCTGCGATGCCACCACACCTCCTTGCAACGTAAGCAAGGGCATAAATGATCCCTCTACGCATGCACACGCGCTCGTAGCCCACGCCCACACGCACGCGCGCGCGCGTGCGCACACACACACACACACACACACACACGCACACACACACACACACACACACACACACACACGTGTGTATGTACACACAAGGACGCACACACAAGCATGCGAACACACACGTGCACACGCGCGCGTGCGTGCACACACACACACACACCACACCCCCCCCCACACACACACACACCTTCATGTTGCCGAAGAACACCGCCGCCTCCGACGCGTTCTTGAAGTGGAACTTGAGCTCCTTCTCGGCGGTTGTGAACAGCCGCCACTGGCGCTGCAGCGTCGCCTTGTCATTTGGAAACTTATTGTAGTCAGGGCACGTAGTGCAGGCGTCCCTGTCACCCTGGGGGTTGATGTGGGTGTAAGAAGGGTGAAACTTGTTGAGTTCAATGAGCGTTTCAACAGCAAATCGAGCGTCATTGCGGGGAGCGGACGGTCAATGTCTGAACACGAGAATGTGGCGGTCAGGGGGCGGCGCACGTGCATGCACTCGCACACGCATGGCCCGTTGTGCGACGAGGCCCCGGCACCACGGCCGACCTGGAAGAGGGTGAAAAACAGCTTCCTGGTCACCACAGGGGTCCTCTTTGGCTTGGTCCCATTGGCGAGCGGCCCGATGCCGGAGGGCGCTGCGGCGACCGTGAAGTTTGCGCCGGCAGCTGGGCGGGCAGGGAGGGAAGGAGGGGGCAGGGGCAGGGGCAGGCGGGCGCATGTGTCGTGTGTGGAGCACCCTTGTCATACATGTGGAGGCAGGGGAAGGGTGGTTGAGGCTTTGCCAGGCTCGGTGTGTGGTGTCACGGGTTGGCCGGATGCGGGGGGCTCGAAACAGCCTGACTCCGCAGGGCGACGGCGGGGGAGGGGGGAAGGGACTCGCCCGGCCCTCACCTAGCGGCACAAAACCGGCCCGGCGGGCGCCAGCGCGCTTGGGGGCGGCCGGGACGGGCGGCGCCTGCAGAAGCGCGCGCCTGTGGGGCCAGCCGCGCCAGTTGGACAGCCAGGGACGGCCTCGGCTTGCTGCGGGTGCGGGTGCGTGCGGGTGGTGGATGATTTCAGGTTGCGTCAGGGGTCGTGTCTGTTAGTGTTGTTGTGTGGGGTAGGGACTGTGATGGTTTGTAATAGTGATGTGCATTGTATCCTCCACAAACGGCCAAGAAGGGGCCAGGAAAGAGCGGGTCCGCTGAGGCGCGGGCACTCTGCTGCAGGTTATGCAGGGGAGGAGGCAGCTAGGGAGCTGCTGCTACTCAGAAGATGCCCCCAGCCTGAGCTTTGGGCAGGGGCGCCCCCGAGCCCCTGCATGCGGCAGCTTGGAGCTGCGACGGCTCGCTGAGGCTGCACGAGAGAGCCGCTGGCACCTTGCTCCTGCCGCCGCGTGCTGTGTGCAGCACGTCCGTCTGAGGGAGGGGCGGCGCGGCGCCGCGCGACTAGCCGTGTTCACGGCTCACCCTCTGCCGTGGCGGGGGCGGCGAGCGTGCCCAAGACGAGCAGCACCACCGCGAAGAAGCGCATTTTGCAACCCACGCTCTCTATATGCAATGTGTCGCGGTCAACTTCGAGAGGCACGGCGAGTCCGAGAGCTTGCGGTGGCCGGGTTACACGGAAAGCTGTGAGCTCACGCCAATGATACAACACTGCCTGCAGATATTTTAGGAATTGGTGTGCAAATGCGGTTTGAAGAGGCCGCGAGCCGCTCGGCCATGACGCACACCAGCACCAATGCTGCTGCTGCAGCTGCCAGATGCTGATGAAGTTAAGGGCCCAATGGCGAACCCTCGCACCGCATTCTGCAGCACAAATAGCTTTCGTCGCACCTCCAGCGACAGCCCCCACGCCGCCGGGAGTGATCGCGCGCCGCGCAATTGGCCACAACGCGGATAGGGCAGCTCGAGGCAGCAGGTGATGCCTGGTAACATGCTCCTTCCAAAAAGGGCACATCCCAACCTCAGGAAAAGCTTGAGGGTCCCAATGCAAGATGGTTACACCGCGCAGCACGCCACGCCCACCCAATGCTGAGCACCCTGATTGCGGGAGGGTCCATCCATGGCAGCACGGAGTGCAGACTGAGAGGGTGCGCAGTGCCGCATGCGCCGCCGCCGCCGTTGCGGAAATGCAGGCGTGCAGGCAAATGCAGGAACTCTTCTCGCGGTGAGCGACGGTCCAGAGGGCGAAACGTGATCCAGCGTGCCCGTGCGGCTGGCGCCGCGCGGGGTTTAATGCAGTGAGAGCGCGCGAGCGCGCAGGCGCTGGCGGGCCCTTGCTGTTAATTGATAGGAGCGCTCCCAAGCCACGCCCCCGAGCGCGAACAAAACGGGCGGCCGTGGGTTGCGGCGGCAGCCCGCGCCCCTCCCCTGCCGGTCCCCGCCGCGCGGGCGCACAGGCGCGCGCGGGGGTGGGGCGGCCCGGCTGTCGCGACCTCGCCTCTGCCTAGCAGCCCATGATGCGTACCCCTAGCCAGCCAGCCGTTGACCAGTCAAACCCGGATGCGTGCACTGGAACGGGGCTTGCCGCAGTTTGAAAAAGGTGCATCAGTCATTAAAGCAACGACATGCACACAAGCACGGAATGGAAGGAAAACACACGTAGAGAGGACAAAACGATTTGCAGCAACCAAGCTTCCAGGCGTGCAGCTTCCTGCCACGCGTCGACCGAACCGTGTTGTTCGTCACCAACAGGCGCCGCGTCGCCCCAAAAACGCTTCCCTTGAAAGGGTCTGTGCGCGCCAGGCCGCGTCCGCCCAGCTTCCGCGGCTGCTCAAGTCAAAGCTGCTGCGCGGGCGGGCGCGCGCGCCGTGCGCGACGCGCCCGCGTCGCTTGCGCCCCTGCGGCGCGCCGGCGGCTGCGCCGGGCGCCGGGGGCTGCGCGCCTGCAGGCGGCCCCCCAGACCGCGCGTCACCCACACATTGTCGGGGTGACGTCACTTGCCTCCCCCCTCCCAGTGGTGTCGCCCCGCGATGCCGCGGCGGCGCCGCTGGCGTCACCCGCCGTCGGTGTCACCCACCGCTGGCTCACCCGCCGCTGCACTGGCGTCACCCGTCGTCAGGCGTCACTGCTCCGCCTTGATGCGGTCGGCTGGCGACAGGGGTGAGAACTCGAAGATGGAGTCGGAGGGGTAGATTGTGGGAAGGTACTTGATCCAGTCACTGTCAGGGGTGCGGGTCCTGTGAGGGGGGAGTGCCAAAGGCCCGTGGTGGGGTCGGCTTGATTTGGATTGGGTCGGGGGTGGGGCCGGGGTGGGGGTTGATGTTGCGCGAGTTTGGGCGGGGTACGAACTTGGGGCAAGGAGCGGGGCGGCCCCTACAGGGTGTTGGGTGTTGCTCCGTCAAGGTGCGGTGCAGCCGCGTGGTCCAGGCGCCTCCACGATACGTTGCGAATGATTAGGGGGGCCGTTCTCTACGAACACAGCTGCCTGTCGCCGCATAGAGCATGCCAGGAGGTGCCGCGCCTGTCACACCCAGCCCAGCGGTCGTCGAAGCAGTCGCCCGCCATCAACCGCAATCAAAAGACCGCGGCCGCGTTGCGAACACCCTGTATCGATCTAGGACCCGATCAAAACCAGAACCATGCCCGAAGGACAGGGAAGCATATGAAGCACTCAAGCAGCGCAATAGACTCGCACTCGCCCACAAGATACGGACGCAGGTGGAAAAAAAGAGCAGCAGTCGAGTAAAGAAGCGCACCTCTTCCAGTCGGCCGCAGTGGCCACGACCGCCAGGAATGTCATGAGGTGGTTTATGGCGTACTCCTTGCCGACGCAGTAGTGGGGGCCGTGGCCGAAGACCAAAAAGTTGGAGGCGTGGGCCACGTCCTCGCGGCGCTCGGGGCTGGGGG